GGGAGCAGGCCTAAGCCAGCAGGTCGTTATCTCCCGAGGGGTCCCAGACTGCGAGAGGGCACAGGCCGGGCTGGGGGACCCCCCTCCCCACTCCCCCGAGTGCACAAATTTTTGTGCACCGGGCCTCTAGTAAAGCAATAAAAGAAGATAAAGGAAGTTTGCTTTTTTAATGTAAGTCTGGGGGAAAGAATCCTGTGTTATATGCCTCACAGACAAACAAAAATGTGTCACCAACTCGGAGAGTCCTGATAATATGGTTCTTGATGGGTCCTAACATATTTCATATTCTCTTTTAAGTTACTGGTAAATAACTCTAAGGAGCCACAGAAATATGAATTGCTATACAGATTTCTTCTAGTAAGTTTCAAGATGCCATGTCTTACTTGTAATGGCATGCCCCCAATTTTTCTCTAATGGAAGAAGTGAAATATTTGTAAGGTGTGCAGAGAAAGAGCGCTATTATTACCCAAAGGTTCCTGTAGAAAGACCAAGTACCAGAGATGATAGTGTTTAGACCTCCAAGTTCTCTTTGCACCAAAAAGACCATTGTGAATCCACACTGTGAAGGCAACTGCTTGTGAGCACAATTAAATGTAGCATTTATTATTTTATTTTACATTTTTATTGATTTCAGAGAAAAAGAAAGTGGGAGAGAGAGATGGAAACATCAATGATGAAAGAGAATCATTGATCAGCTGCCTCCTATAGGCACCACATTGGGGATCAAGCCCACAACCAGGGCATGTGCCCTGACCGGGAATCAAACCATGACCTCCTGGTTCATAGGTAGATGCTTAACCACTGAGCCATGCCAGCCATTTATTTAAGTGTAGCATTTAAATTAATACCAGCAGTGAATGCTGACTGATTTCTATGCATACATATTTCCCCCCAAATCAATACACGGCCTTTATTGCATCTTTAAAAATCAAGGTAAGGCTGAGGAATCACCTGACATCTTGTTGTTTCTATAGCTGGACGATGTAGATCTCATTTATCAGCCTGCTGACCTGTTCCTTTTTCAGAAACAGAGATACCATCCAAATATTTTCTGATATCCTTCTTTTTAAAGTTGTGGCTTGTTGAATCAAAGCAGCTGAATTTTATACAAGTTCAATGTCAGCTCCTTAAAAAATGTATTCATCTTTCTGGGCTTGAGATACTGAACAAGCAATGCCTGACCTCACCCGAACCCTGCAGATGTATTTTTCACCCAAGAAATTGTGGGTTTCAACAAGAGAACCATTCTCCTAAATAACAATGTTGGTGGGGAGTTGAGCGTACACAGACCTCATATTATAACGGAAACCTGGTGTAACATCCTTGTTCTGTACAGGACAGCAGATAGTGCAAATGGTAGCTCCTTTGTCAACCCAGAACCTATTTTTTTTCCCCAAGGAAACTGAGTTCTACATTTATGTGATTAAAGTCCCTCCACAGGGTGCCTTTGGGTTCCTTCACAATAACTGTGCGTCCCTTCCAAGTGATGTTGACATTTTCTGGAATGTCGACAGTCTGATTGCTGAGAATGGTCTTCATCTTCTCAATAGAGGTGGCAAAATCTGTGGCATACACTTAACAATACCTGTTTCCTAAGAATTCCTTGTCCCTCCATCTCTGTACATTCTCCTTTTAGAGCTCAGTGTGAACCAAGCAAATTAGTTTTTAACCAGGCTCAGAGGGTGCTAGACACTTGAAAGAAAAGATGCTGTGCTGACTATGAATGCTATTCTTTTCTCTAATAGAAGGTTATCTAAAGGTTTTGTTTCCTTGTTTGTTTAGCAATTCCCTGTCATCTACTTACTTTAAGGCCGTGGTTCTCAACCTTCCTAATGCCGCGACCCTTTAATACAGTTCCTCATATTGTAGTGACCCACAGCCATAAAATTATTTTCGTTGCTACTTCATAACTGTAATTTTGCTACTGTTATGAATTGTAATGTAAATATCTGATATGCAGGATGTATTTTCATTGTTAAAAATTGAACATAATTAAAGCATAGTGATTAATCACAAAAACAATATGTAATTATATATGTGTTTTTCCGATGGTCTTAGGCGACCCCTGTGAAAGGGTTGTTCGACCCCCAAAGGGGTCGCGACCCACAGGTTGGCGACCCACAGGTTGAGAACCACTGCCTTAAGGGAAGCTGTAGTTGATTTTTTAAATGTGCCCAATATAAGTAATGGTGTCAAAATAGAGGCTTCTCATTGTGGTTTCATAAATGTATTTGATTTATCCAATTAGGAAATAAAACTGCTCACAAAACCTACAAAGAAAAAACTGATTATGGAAATCAACTTATTTTTTTAACCCTAAAATAATCCATTATTTTGGATAATGCATAGGTGAACAGAAATCAAGATATTTTCCTACAAGCTGTTTGGGTATAGTATATCCCTCAGATTAATATTCAGACTAGGAAAGAAAGAGAATTACATTGTCCTGTAAGGTCTACTACACCTCTGCCATCTTCTGAGCAATTTGGAATACTTCCTTCCATCAAAACCAGCCCCCTTTAGCCTACTCCTCCAGCCCCAGCCCCACCCCTACAATTGCTTTGACCAGAATTGCTTCCTATTTGAGGAGGGTGGAGTTTAAAGTTGTTCTGTAACTGCTTCCTTTATTTCCTTTAAAGTGGGTTCCATAAAATGTCCATGGTGTTCTTAGAAGAAAAGGTTTGGATAATATTGCCTGAGTTAATATTAATTTGAAATATTCCCTATAAATTATTACCTCCTTTTTGGAAACACCAAAAATACATAATGCATGATGCAAGTGAAATGAATGGCAAAAAACCCCACTATAATGTTATTCTGATCCTCAGTGGCCGGGTCAATCAAAAATAGCCTATTTGAGATACAGAGGCAGAGTTGCCTTGAACAGACTGTCAAACTACAGCAGGAAGGCCGGGGAGGG